AGGATTCTAAACACTCTATATTTTATTAGAAATATAATTTATAATTTGTTCTTATTAATTTTTTACGTTTGTTGAATAAGTATTTTTTCTTTTTTTTTTGAGAGAATATATTTTATTGAGAGATCGACATCAATATTTCTTAAATCTTCCCCTGGCCTGGCCAAAACAAGATTCAAAAATTGTGGTGGTCAATGTATCCCGGTGCTAGCGCCTTGAAAAGATGCGGTACAATAATCACCAAGATAAAAGAAATAAATATAGTTTAAAAAAACTAAAAAAACACGCTTTTAAAGCAAATCGAACTAAAAAATTTAAAATAATTTTTAAAATAAGCTTAAAACAATAATGAACGAAAAATACTAGTATTATTGTGATAAAAGCGTCGGGCGCTGAATATACAAAAAAATATGACACAAAGCACCCACGCTTTTATCACAATAATACTAGTATTTTTCGTTCATTATTGTTTTAAGCTTATTTTAAAAATTATTTTAAATTTTTTAGTTCGATTTGCTTTAAAAGCGTGTTTTTTTAGTTTTTTAAACTATATTTATTTTTTACTTTTTTGTTTCATATATTATGATAGTAGTTACTATCAATATCACGATTGTTACGGGTAACGGGAAATCAGGGTTCGATTCCGGGTAGGATGTCTGAGAAACGGCTACCACATCCAAGGAAAGCAGCAGGCGCGTAAATTTCCCCCTCCCAGAACATGGAGGTAGTGACGAAAAATGACGATACTGGATTCATCCTTTGTAATCGGAATGAATGAGTTCTATATCTCTAAATAAGAATAAAGTGTGTTAATATATATTTTTAATAGTAATTAGAATATATATACATGTAAAGCGACTTAAGTACGTAAACGTATCATGCATTAGGTACAGTCGTGTTTTGTGGGCGAGCGGGTCGGACTAGAGATGTGTCGTTCGCGAACGAACGGATCAAAATAGTGAACGAAATGATTCAGATCGCCGAACCATAATGATCCGGATCCCCCAAAAACTAATTTTTTCCCGTATAAATCACCTGAACCGATTTGATCGCTTACCAAATATCAATGATAACATGATAACATATTCATCATATGTCATTTGTTTATACGACACATCCCTAATCCGAATCGCGAATTATACATGCGATTCGCGAATCGAGAACCGCAAAAGAATCAAAACTATACTGAATGTTCCATTCAATTGACTCAAAATATCTTTTAGATTGCGAACGGGTCTTTGAACCGGATCTTCTAGTTGACCTGATTCGAATGAACCATAATTCCCATCTCTAGGTCGGACTAACGTTATACCTGAGGTATAAACGGCGGTAGGAATATATACGTAAGCCGTATGCACGCGGATAATAATGGTCAGTCAAAATAAAAATTTGTTTATATATATATAATATTGATGACACGCACGTATGTACGGGTACGATAACCAATAATAAATTTTTACAGGAATAGTATTGCCGGCGTGTGATGAGCGAGGCGTGGAGTGGGGTGAATGCGTTATGACAGTCTAGTCTAGACGACGGAATATGCGATAACGCGTGGCGTTTGGACAGTTACAAATATACATAAATACATACATACATACATACAGGTGAAACTAATATAAGCGTGTTAAAAATTAGAAATATCTTCATAAATTTCTTTGAGCTATCCGCCGGCACAATGCTCGTTAAAACAAAAACATAAAGCTCAATGACTAACTACCCAGTAAGTATAGAGTTGCAATACACTTAGTCCAATAAATTAATTTAAGTCTCAGTTTTAACTGAGAAAATTGTGACCTTTAGCTCTGTCCGACGGCACGATGTTCGTTAAAACAAAGACATTAAGATCAATCATTAACCAAACCCAACGAGCTCACAATAGATTTTTATTATTAAATAAAAATTTAAAGTTGGGATAGATTTATTATTAAAATAAATTAATCAAAAAAAACCACGCACAAGGGGCCGCGGCACAGTGATGACGTGGCATAGTTGGATCAAGTATAATGATATCTGTCAGTGATTAAAATCACTATTAAAAAAAAGCTACAATGCAAATCTTTAGATAGTGTTTAATTTTAAAAAATTGGTGGATTATTCCATAAGTTACATGATCAGCTGTATTCTTATTAACATAAAGTATGTCGAATGAAAAAGGGATTATTTTATTGTATGGATCCATATACTTTTCAAAAAGTTATAGCATTATAAAGTTAAAAATGAAAAAAATAAAATCGAGAATTTTCACACAAAAAATGGAATTCAATAGCCATTTTCACCACGAAGACAAAATAAAGTCCAAAATTTTTTTTCTTAATAATAAAGTACATTACATTAGCTTTAATTGAAGATATATATATATAAATGTCAGTATTTCCGGAACACTTTCAAAAATTAAGTTGAAAAAGTTGTCATTTTGAATCCCCTCTGTGGGCAGGTTTGTAATTTTTTTGGAGATTTCCTCCATTTACGGGGAACGAGGGAAATTTTTTCAATTTTTGAGGATAATGACTTACGACTAGATACAAATTGTGATCTTTTGACGTATATTTGAAAGAAATCGGTTCGGTGAGAGCTGAGAAAAAATGGTAACTACACAAAAAAAAAAACGGTAGCATAGTGGGGTCGAGGCACAGTGTGGACGAGGCATAGATGGGACAAGTATAAATGATATCTGACAGTGATTAAAATCATTATCATAAGAATCGCTTCGATGCAAATCTGTAGATAGTGTTTCATTTAGAGAAATTGGTGAAATATTTTAAAAGCAACATCAACTCTTATTTCTTTAATTATATCCTGATTAGTAGTTCTTTGATTTTAAAATATAATATATGAATAAATACTAATTATAGTTTTTAAATTTAGTATGAAATTGTGAGGCCAGCTATGATGTATGGTTCATAGTGTTGGGCGGTTGATAAGAAAGTAGAGCAGAGAATAAGTGTAGCAGAGATGAGAATGCTTAGTTGGATGAGTGGAGTGACTAGAGAAGATAGGATAAGGAACGAGCATATAAGAGGAAGTATAGGTGTTGCGTCAATCGTGGATAAGATGACAGAAAATAGACTTAGATTGTTTAGTCATGGTATGAGGAAAGAAGAATCGAAAGCTGTAAGAACAGTTATAGAAATGAATGTTGAAGGAAGAAGAGATAGAGGAAGACCAAAAAAGAGATGGAGGGATGCTATTGAATGCGATTTGAGGAGTAGAATTCCTTGTGTAGAAGATGTGGGAGATCGTGTCAAGTGGAAGCTTAAGATAAGGGTGGCCGACCCCAAGTAGTTGGGATTAAGGCAAAGAAAAAGAAAAATATTACCAGATATTCCGGTGGCAATTGACATAATATGATTGTTATTTCGGAATGTACAATTTAGCGTTTAGTTGGGTTTAAATAATATAGCGTCAAATCAATTACCTACTCTATCGGTTGTATCTCAATATACACTACACTTTAATGATACAATAAATAAATAAACTCACACATACACACATATGCATTTATAACATTGTGTCTAATGTAAGTATAACATGATAAAAAGTAACCGTAAAATGAAAAAAATGGAATATAAATTTTATTACTCATATTAAATGTAATGTAACTCNGGAAAATAAATTTTAGTACTCATATTAAATGTAATGTAACTCGAAAAATATTTGTTTAAATGAAAAAATATAAGATAATTTTTTTGTTTAAAATTGTCTTTTAAACAACTTTTGTACGAAACTTTTTTTGTAAGTTAAATATTTTTTGAAAATATTAAAAACATCGCGATGTTTTCAAATGTACAATTAGACTATTTCTATCACTTTTAAGTTTTAATATTATTAAAAAATAGTATTTACATATAAAAAAAAAATAAAGAACAAAAAAAATTGTTTTAATTAATACTGATTTTGATTATTAATATGTTAAAAATATGGAAAATGACATATTTAACCTATTTTTTTAATCGTTTAAAGTTGAATGTTAATAAAGTAAATGTTTATAATAAAAAAAATTGTGAGGCGACGCGGGACGCCTGGTAGATGTGAAACATCTTGTTAACATTTTATACATTTTTTTTCATAGACGGATAGATTACAACAAGATATGGCCCCGAGTAGCAATTCGAGTTCATACTGGGTTCATTTAATATAGTAACAACGGTGCTGAACTCAGTTCAAAACCCGTTCACAGCACGGTTCAAAATGAGATTTGAATACGGATTTTAACATGGGGTGAACCGAGTTCTACAAAAGTTCAGTAAGAGTTCAAAGACCGTCCCTCGGTTCAACTATAAAACCCTCGATAACAGTTCAATAATCGTTCATTAGTTCAATAAAAGCAAGCTCTACGACGATTCATTAAGCGTTCATTAGTTCATTAGCAGTTACGGTATTTAAAATTAAATTTATAGGTTTTGTAAATATTCAAACATTTTATAATTTTAAAATAATAAATTGTATTACTATATACACAATGTATAAAATAAAATATATTATATGTAAATATAAAATAAAATAGTTAACCTTCGAATTTTAGGTTTATTTTATATTAAATGATAATTAGTAAACAATTCATTCATACAATTTGATTATAATTAATATAAATTAATAACAATAGTTAATTTTAAATAAAAATAATGATGTTAGCAATGTCAGCCATTTATTTACTGTAACTCAGTTTGATTTATTGTTGTACAATATATATCAAAAAAATCCAATAAAAATTTTTTATCATAATAAGTTAATCACTAAGGTGTTATACAGTTTAGACAAGAAATATATAGTTAATATTAGTACAGAAAATTGTGAAATTGCAATAGTTGATATAACAAAAAATATTACTGTGGTTATAAAAACAATTAGTAATTTTAATTTAATTTCCATGAAATTGAATAAAAGAAAATCATTGCCATAAGTACAACAAAAGAAGTAAAACATATAAGTAGCATTCAATAAGATGGCATAAGATTACCATGTTTTTTTTTTACTGTTTTTATTTTGTTTCCTAAATGCTATATTTTGTTTTCACTATTAATAAAAAAACTGTGAAATAATCTAAGTGAATAAATTTTAAAAATCATTTACAAAAAAATGAAATGTTGATTGAATAATAAAAAAAAAAAAGGATTTTATTGCTGTGATGCTTTATTACCAGAATGCTTTAAAATATTAGCTATTATTTTGTTAAATGTTCTTTCGTGTTCAGGTATTATGATTTAGCCAGACATAGCATCTATTTGGTGTTGTCACAAAAACTAAAATTTGAGGCCATTTCTCTTGTCATACAAAAATCAAATGCTGTTCTCGTATATGCACTGAAACTTTTAATGGTACCCACTTTAAGCAACAAAACATTTTTCTGGAAAGAAAAAAAAAACAATAACTCATCAATTATAATAAATTAAATTATATATATATATATATATAAAAATAATAATATTATTATTATTATTTTTATGAATATACAATGTTACAATTATAGATCAATCATTATTAAAATAGTTGGTATCTTACCAGTATTAATATAGGCTCTAGTAATTGTATCCCAAATGATATAAATAAGAAGGGAAGATAAGAATACTTCAATAGAACAACCTTTCAAGTTAAATAAAACATGCTCCCAAAGAATAATTTTATTTAAAATAATATACCTATAAAAAATTAATAAATTATATAAAAATAATTAACAACTATGCTTTGGGTATAAAAAATTTTATAATTTACTATTATATAATAGTAAATATATTATATTTATTATTTTTTATTATTTTAAATAAAAATATTTTAATACAATAGAGTATAAAGTTTTAAAGTTATTTCATAAATGTCAATAGATATTTATTCAGATTTCTGGAGAAGAAAGAATATAGGGAGTTCAAATATTTTTGTGTAAATGATAAATTATTATTAGTTATTGCACTTCCGGTTAATATGAACTCAATGTTCAAAAATGTTTATTGAGTTATATCAATTTACAATTAAGCGCCAACACATAAAGTTCAGTTAATAAACTATACAGAAATTAACCTTTTAGTGTTACAGTATTCAAATGTTTGATCAAGTACATGGCTATGCTTTGTAAAATATTTATTATACTTATAAAAAAGACATATTTTTTAAATATTGGAAATTAAAAAAGCATGATATCCATCAACATTTATTTATTGTAACTATTTGATATAGTGAAGTAAAATTAACATGATATTTCATAAGAAGTATTTTATTTTGGTTATTATTTAAGTTATAAAATAATTGTGTTTTGGATATTGGGTATTTTAGACAACCTAGGTATATAGATTTCTGTTTTGGGAAACTACTGTGAATAGTTTTATTTATATCTTAAAATTATTTAGGCTACATGTAAGCCTGTTCCTCATAGATTAAAATGTGCCTTTTATAGGTTGATTTGTATAAAAATCTTGTTGATTTAATGGTATAAAGGTTACAAATAATTACAAAAATGAGTCTGATGAAAATCTTGTTTAATGTAAAACCCTGTTAATTGTTAAACGGTGAAAACCTTTATACTTTTCATTTATTTAAAATTTGAATTATTGAAATATAATTTTCATTCAAATAGATGCAATTCTTTTTAACTTAAAATGTTTGATAAATTTAAATTATTGAGTAGTACAATAGAGGGATTTTCATTAAAAATCAACAGTTTTTTAAGAGATGGTATTTCAATGTATACAATTTTGAGAAATATATAAAATGCACCATTTTAAATATTAAAATACAGAAGTAATTTGTATCACATGTATCAATAAATAAGAAGATCTAAAATAAGCTAGAGCTGACCCCAAATAGTTGGGATAAAGGCTTAGGATATGATGATAACGACAATGATATATGATTAAAAACATTTTAAGCTCATGGAAAATCTTGAGGTATCTGTTAATAACTTCATAACAACATAACTAACGATAGTACTTTATTAAAATAAATAATTTTGCATTATAATTATAATTAATCATAATACAAAATGTGAAAATTTAATATATAATTTACCACTTGTATCTATTACAATTACAATAAATGTAGTTACTAAAATGTATGATTATCTTTTAAAAAAATAATATATGCTATTATTAAAATTAATTAAAATAACTATTTATTATTTTAGTCCTAAATTTAAATTAAATGTACTTACATTTTATTGAACTTTTCAGTTAAATATATATGTGAGAGTGAACAGGGATAAAGAGCAGTCTTGACAAGTTATCTAGTCGCTGTGAAAATGGCGAATGTCTCAAAACATAATTTGTAAAGAGAGTAAAACGATCGTTGATAATTTGAAAAAATGTCACAGTAAAAATTAAATAACAAATAAAAATCGCGCGAACTAAAGCTGTTGGTCAACGGTTACTGACACGTCTGGTTATTCCGCCAAAAGTTCGTATGTTAAATTTGCGCTATAGTCTCAATGAAAATAATTTATAACTATTATTTTAAAGTTTTTTTATTAATGTACTAATCAAGGTATAATATGTCTAATAACAATATAAGTGAATAAAACTATTTGAATGGCTATAACCGTTACAACGATTCTTTCATTATAATGAAAGAACTTTGATGAATCCGTACAATTATTTTGAACATTGAACGGTCCCAGCACTTATTAAAAATTGTTCGGTTATTTATTGAACGCTGAACTTTCCTAGAACTTTTAAAAAATTACACGGTTCATTTTTGAACATTGAACTCTCCCAGCACTCGTGGGTCGCTTGAACCGACCGTGAACCAAAATAATGCTACTCGGGGCATATTGATTTCGTATGGCAAACATCCTGTATCTATCACAGACATTTTGTGTAATTTTTGTCTCATACTTGCTTCCTGCTCATGATTAGAACAACCTGAAATAATATCTATTGCAATCGAAGTTATTTTATTTTCAGTTTGTAAAGCTAATATATTATATGCGTTAACTGAGGCATTAACATGGAATAATCGTACACCACTTGGACACCGCCGTGAAACTTCTTCTTTTGTAAAAAATCTAGACTCGATTACGCCCAATTCATCATCATTTAAAATAATACCACTACCAATTTTTGTGAGAATAGAAGAAAACATTTCGTTATCTTGACGCATTATTTGAGATAGTTCGTAGAATTTTAATCCTCGCCAAAGTAAGGGTCCAACCATCCGTTGTTTTGACTGCTTATAGATTGGAGTTGCACGAACTGGAAGTAATTGTCGCAAATCTCCAATCAAAATAATGTCTAGGCCACCAAAATTTTTATCAAAATTCCCAGTTATTTGTTTTAATCTTGCGTCTATCTAGTTTAAGAGCTCGCCACCTATCATACTGATTTCGTCAATCATTAAAACTTTGACATATTTAAATAAGCATCGATATTATTGTGCTGTTTCTATTGACAATGGTATTAGTTTTGATAACGATATTTTCAATGCAGTATGAACAGTGGTTCCATTAATGGCTACAGAAGTTTTACCAGTCGAAGCACACGTAATGTATGAATTGCAGAACCCATCGTTATCAGAAAATCTATTATATATTTCCATTATCAATGTTATCACAAATGTTTTTCCGCATCCAGCTGGCCCAGTAAAAAATAATTGTAGAGGTGACTTCTCTTCGGATAAATTGTGATGAATGACGTGTAAAAGTAAGTCTTTTTGTTTTTCATTAGCGCTTCTCATGAGCTCGCAAAAACGATCATTGCTCATGATATTTTCTCGTCTTCTGGTTATTGCTCCTAAGTTATCAAGCGTAGCTATACGTAAATCTTCATTTACTAAAGTATTCGGATTTCTGTACAATTCTTCAAAGGGATTTGGCTCTGGAAATCTTGTACCAAAGTCTCGAATTTCTGATTCGTCCATCCATCAGCTCATCCTCATCCTCATGACATAATTGTCGGCATATATCAATTGTTTTTTGAATATCAATATTTGACTCAAATTCTTTTCTTTTTTTTTAAATTTCGCTTTCGTGTGTTACGTCGCTATTTAGGGGTTGAGCCTAAATGCCCGTCGACAGTATTCTAAGGGACCAACGGGGGATAGCTGGCTAGGCTATATCTACCTTAGGTACTGAAGTTTCCTATTTAATTTATATTCCCTTAGAGGAACTACCAAGGGTCGCACTACAATATATATATATATAACACTTTAGGTTAACATCGATATAAATATATATTTATTAAGCAATTGAAATATTAAATAGATAATACAACCTGCTGGACACCTAGAGATGATATAATCCAACAGGGAGCTGACGGCGACACACACACACANCAGGGAGCTGACAGCGACACACACACACAATATACGGGGTAGCAAAGTTAATTTAATTATCAGACAAAAAGTAGTGATCGCGAAGATGGTAAAATGTCAACTATCATAGGGATATCTTATTATGGCAAATTGGCTGTGAATTGCAAAAAGTGTTTATGTGTGCAGTCCGCCCTCCTGTTAGTATTGTTGTATGTCACTGTGTTAATTATATATATATATATATATATATATATATACCTATTAAAAGGTACAATGATGTTATGGGAGGCAGAGATATGGGCACATGCAAATGTGATCGTATCTCGTGTTCATCGTATATTGTTGTGAATTTTATATCTGCTAATATTTCTGTGTCTTCATTTCTAAATGGTATATGTAAAGTAACCATTTCTCTTCTATACTCATTCTAATCATGAGTCATATCATAATTTTTGTAACGAATAACATGAGTGTGCTGCTTTGTGACGTACTCTCCTTTTCTATTTTTAGTATATTTTGAAATAAACTGTGCTAAAGAAATTTCTTCCAATATTTCTGGGCGTTTTTGATACTTATCGTGCCAATCTTCCTTCTAAATATCAGTTGAATCATCATCAAGTTCATCTATTTGTTTTTGTGTTTTTTTTATCCTCTGCCGTTCAATCTGCCAACAAGTGTTAATATACTTAACCGCTACTGATGAATTAGACATTGGTAACCTTAGAAGATACCAAGCCGCTTCTTGACTCGAGTTATTTCAACAATGTCAAATTCTGGATTCTCATTCATAACTTCTATTATTTTGCGTTGCAAATTGCTAATGCCTCTGTTGGTCTTATTTACATATTCGACGACATATGCTGCACAAGAATATTCTTCGGTAATTATCTGGAAATCCATATTTGACTTTAATACATTAAAAACAAATGGATTAAAAGTATTATGCCATTTTTCTGATGGATGTCGTTTATAAAATATTTTTGGTCTACTAATACCAGCTCTTAGTATATTATTATATTCTTCATCTGATCTGAGATTATTACTTTCATAATAATCATCAATACTGTCATATAGTCATTACTTTCTAAGTTGATTCTTATTTCATTATATCTTTTCAAATGTTCTTTGTAAAGTGGATTACTTTTTTCCATCAGTAATAAAATTATTGTAGATTTACACGGCATAAATGGCGCTTCAAATCGGCACTTTTGTACAGAAGTAAGGCCAATTTTTTTGTAGCATGTAAAAGTGTGCTTATGTGTAAGTAATTTGATATTTCCTGATGCTTCCGACGTTGATACCAACACTAAACTGTTAATCATTTCTATAGCTTGTTTTTGATATTCTCCAAGAATATCTGTTTTCACTGATTCATCAATATTCTGTTGTGTAATGAATGGTGCTTTTTCATTAAAAAATGATTCATCAACTGTTATTTTGTAATGCTGATATAAAGGAGTATTAATCAAATAATTCAACCATTGTTTAACTGATCCGATGCTAATTAAGCCATGAACAAAACTACTTTTATGAATTATTTTCTTTTTGATATGTACGTAAATGCAAAGTTCATCATTAACATTTCTTGGAAGTGACCGGACCATGGTTTCAACAGCAACAGGGACATTGATAATTTGTCCGTATATACCAAATTGTCCTTGAACATGTCTCAATCTTCTTATTTGCATAAAAGGAATTCGAGGTGAGATAAGCCTTTCAGTGATGAAATCTATTTTTGGTAAATGCTGTGGTACTTTTGGATAATGAAATCCATTATACACAGAGAAATTAGGAATGTGATTTTTATCTATTGCTGATATACATCTAGAGCAAATTTTGAGTGCATCCACATTTTTCCCAATGGTTAAAGTGTCAATTATACATCCAGATGCAGATGGTTTCTTCAAATCTTTCTCAAACCAAAGTCGGTCGCAAATTGAACAAGCAAGTCCAAATTCATTATTTTTAAAATTATCGTTGAAATATTTATGAGCTGATTTATGGTATCTAAATTGAGTGTAGTTNTTGTATCTAAATTAAGTGTAGTTATTTAATATTTCTCTTACATTTACAGTTGATTGATCGCTTGAATTTTGCTGAGATACTTCATCCACTTCATGCTGCATTTCTACAAAGCCATCTACACATCGAGAACTTGTATTTATTTCGTTTATTATTGACTCATTGATTATTTCTGTAAATTCAATATTTGGACAATTAGATACTTCTGCAATAATTTCTAAATTTTGTAAACGTCTTCTTCTTTCCGCTTCACGCTACTTCAATTTATCCTTGTTTTGCTTTCTGTATCTTTGTTGACGTTCTTGTTTCTTTTGGAGAGCATTTATTTTATCATCTTGCTCATTTCTATGAATTGATGCTGTACGTGTTTTTTCCAAACCAGATGAACTTTGGGAAATAACAGATATTGTTTCTTCATCACTCACTTCAATGCTATTAGTGTTTGAAGAAGTAGATGGCCCGGCAGTACTTTGTGAATGTTGTATTCGTTTTCTTCTTTCAGCTTTACGCTGTTTCAATTTCTGCCTATTCTGCTCTCTGTATCGTTTTTGACGTTCAGTTTTACTATTATTTACTCTAAAAAAAATTAATATAAAAATTAAACAAAAGCTAAAATAAAACTTATTGATAAATACAAACTTTAATAATAGAAATATAATCAACTTACAGATGACTTGATAGTGTGTCGTAAAGCGCTTTCTTTTTAGGAGGTTGCTCACTTTCACTGTCACACATTTTTTATTTATCGTTAATAATTTGAAGTGTATGAAAATTAAAATAAAATAAATCACATTTAATCACATTTACATTATATAACAAAAAGTTTATCCAAACAAATCCGATGATGTACGTACAGTACGAATATTATGTAATGTTATCATTACTTCTCGTTTCAACGTAGTGTTATCGAAGGTTCGTTATTTCAGCGCGATTCTTTTCTTTTTAGATAAAACACAGGTTTTGTGTACCGTAATAAACAACACTGTATACTAAATAGGTATCCAAGCTTAGTGTGGCGGTAGAAATTTTGCTTACATTTTGCTGACGCGTCGCCGCGGCAAGCATCGCCACGCCAAAATTTTTTTTACCCCCCGGCTATAGATGTTTCACATTAAAAATTAAACTTTTAGAACATTTTTTTAAACGAATATGCGTTTTCCAAAGAATAAAATGAAAATAAATAAGTAAAAATCAACAAAATCCGTTATAACATATTTTTAAGACTTTTACATGTTTTTTACTGTATGTAGTGTTTTTGTGGGCTATTTATTAAGAAAACTACATTGAAGTTATTATTTTTGAATTTCTTGTAAAATTTTCCTTATTTGAGTTTTTCTTTCATATTTCTAAGTTAAGCAAAAAAAAAGTTATGAGACATAGATCAGTTATTTCTATTAAATTTGCCTCTTCAACTCAACTTAATAGGCCTGGGGGCACGGGTTAACCTTTATGGATCGGACCCTAATTTTGCACAGCTCATTTTTTTGACTATTAAAAAAAAAAATTAAGTGGTAGCGTAAAAAAAATAAAGACATTTGATTTTTGAGGGCCACCCTAATATATATATATATATATATATATATATATATGAAGTACCTTACAAGTACGTCACAAGATAAAGGGGGGTGGCGTTATTTCGCGTAGGACATCGAAGGTAAGATAGAGCGTTCACCGCCTGCGCTCGGTGGTCGACCGCGCTCCAATAGATGGACTTTGCACCCTAGCTAGATAGCGGGGTACTCTAATCAGGCTGGGCTTGCGATGTGATAGGGCGTTTGATGGAAGAGACGAGAAGACCGTGTATTAAACGTATCGCAAAAAATACGGTACTGTGTCAAAACACATAATAGTAAACTTAATACCTTCTCAGCTTCGCATCAAAGCTAAAAACACGACCTATCATGTATGTGCAAATGACAGTCGAAGTTGAACAAAAAATAGGAATTAATTTTACTTTTGGAATAGTTCACCAATTTCTTAATATTAAACACTATCTACAGATTTGCATCGAAGCGTTTCTTATGATAGTGATTTTAATCACTGTCAAATATCATCTATACTTATTCCAAATATGTCACGTTCATACCGTCCCCTAACCCCACTGTGCAACCGTTTTTAGCTTCGATGCGAAGCTGAGAAGGTATTGGTTTTACTAAGATGTGTTTTTTTTGTGCCTGTTACCACTTTTTCTCAGCTCTCACCGAACCGATTTCTTTCAATGATACGTCAAAAGATCAGAAATTGTATTTAGTCAAAGACATTACCCTCAAAAATTGAAAAAAATTCCCTCGTTCCCCGTAAAAGGGGGAAACCTCCAAAAAAATTACGAATTTAAAAATCGCTAATTTTCGAAATTTTTTCAATTTTTTTTACTTAAAAGTGCTATAACTTTTTCAAAAATAAACATATCAATATGATTCTTTTTTGTATAGATGCATAATATCATTACCTTTCATTTGGTATATTTTTTTCATAAAATTAACCCTTAACCTGCCCACAAGGGGGGATTTAAAATGACAACTTTTTCACAAAAAATTAACTTTTTCAACTTAACTTTTGAAAATGTTCCGGAAGGTCTGACACTTTTATATATATCTTAAATTGAAGCTAATGTAATGT